GGGGTCCAGGAGGACCGGAACCAGACGGGGGTCCAGGACCAGGTACCGACGACGAGGCCGAAGACTCCGCTGAGACCGAGGACAGCGACGTGGGCTGGGCCGAGAGCAGAGAGGCCGAGGAGGAGAAGGGTCTGAGGAGCGTGGAGAACTTCAGCTGCTCCGTGTGCGGTAAAAGGTTTGGGCGCGGGAACGACCTGAGGAGGCACATGAAGGGTCACACGGGGGAGAAACCCTTCAGCTGCTCAGAGTGTGGGAAAAGATTCATCCAGAAAAGTGACCTGAAAAGACACGAGAACAGTCACACGGGGGAGAAACCCTTCAGTTGCTCCGTGTGCGGCAGAAGCTTCGGGCGCAAGAGCAGCGTGAGGATCCACGAGGTCATCCACTCGGGGGCCCGGCCCTTCAGCTGCCTCGTCTGTGGGAAGAGCTTCAACCTGAAGCCCTCGCTGCAGCTGCACCTGAGGATCCACACGGGGGAGAAACCCTTCAGCTGCCCCGTGTGTGGGAAGAGATTCAGCCAAAAGAGTGACCTGAGGAGACACGAGAAAAGTCACACCGGGGAGAGACCGTTCAGTTGCTCAGTGTGCGGGAAAAGATTTGGCCACAGGTCGAACCTGAGGGTCCACGAGAAAACTCACTCCAGAAAGAACTTGACGGAGCAGCGCGGAGAGACCCTGGTTGATGTGTGACCCCTGGTGTGACCTCACTGGTCCAGACGAGACATGACGGTTCACTGATACTGACTAACTGGATACTTGTATCATCAATAATCAGACATTAAAAAACATTTCATTTAAATGATGACCAAACAAACATTTTACCAACCAGTTTGTTTTTATTTCCACCTTAAACAGACTTTGTTTCAACACTGTTTCTGATTGGTCCGTCAGCAGCGTTCAAACATTCACACTAAACTCCAGTGTGAAACTAAATCCTTGCCACTTTACACGTCAGTCACTGCATGTGGAGACCAGGACAGGGGCGCTGCTAGGCTTTTATTTTGAAGGCAACTATGTTGGTCTCTGATGGTGAGTTTGTCAAAGAATGTTTGATGGACTGACGTGACCTGAGGACCAAGACCAGGGTGGAGGACAACTGAGACAACTGAGGACCAGAAGTCCACAGTCGTCTCATCATTTAAATTAAATCTCAAATAAAAACAGATGAGAAACACTGCCATCTATCTGCTGATGGTGTAACAGCGATGGCTGGTGATTCAGTGGCAACAATGAACAGAAGAGGTGAAATACTGCCGCCCTGCCTGATGCTCCTTCAACCTTCACCTGTAACATCAGTGTGTACCGTCGTCATGTGGTAACAATAAAGGTCAAAGTCCAGAAACAACAGAACCATCATCCTTAATTAGTTAATTAGAATCCATAAGGTCCAAAACCAATCAGATGTCATCATGGATCAACAGAAATCCTGACTAATTATTTATTATTGTCCTAGAGATTCCTTTTGTCGTCTGTGTTTCAAAGTGTCACAGCTTTTTATTTCACCTGGTTTCATTTATTCACTCAGTTAAAGCGTGGACCAATAAGAGCTTTGTATCTGAAATGTTTGTAGAACTTTGTTGTTATTCCATCTGGTTCAATTTATCTATAATTAAGTCTTCTTCACAAAGTTCTTTGAAGTTCAGATCAGACATTAATGTTGTCGAATGTTCTGGTTTTTGACACCTGGTTTTCGAAGTCGAACTTTATCAATCTCTACAAAAGGCTCTTATTTTGAAGGAGCGATTTTCGAAGCGGAACCATGGATTTCACTTCCGTGTTGTGTCTGACTCTGCACCGACTCATGTAAACATGTCCAGACTGCGGGAGGTGAAGAGCGTGTTCCTGCAGCAGCTGCTGACGTCACTGCGATCAGAACTGTTCGGACACCTGGAGAGAAAAGTGTCACAGTATCAACAGGAAATGGATCGGAACCAGAAACTGCTGGATTCGGTCCGAGAAGGTTCGTTCAAGTTCAGAATGCTAGGCTATGCTAAACAAAGCTCGCTTACGTTAGCCACAGCAGCTAGCTGCTATCGCTGCTTTTGTTCTTCGGTTAAACTTTGGTTTAATATGAAATATAAAAAGGTTTTGAGCCAAAATGGCGGCCGTTCACTGATGAGTGTGGACCGAACTTGTTCAGTGTTTATGAAGCAGCAGAAGTCAAATAAACAGGTTTGTATATATATATAAAATATTTGATTTAAAGGTGGAAATGCTATCGATTCTACGGTATCGATACGGTAATATGGATCTTTACGATATCTATGTATTTGGTATTTGTACAATTGTTATTAACATGGAAACAGAAACAACCATTAGTTGTTTTTGTTTTGTTTTATTTTACTGGTGATATTTGAATTCCTGTAAAAGAAAAAACGAAATATTTACTATAGAATTACATTTGCCTTTAAAGCAGATGCAAAAAAATAAATAAATCCAAAAGTATACGGTCTTCAACATTGGGTGCATGGTCCCTCGGGCGTCTCTGGTCAAACACGGACCAGGTCCTAAACACAGTCTTTTCTGTTCGACAGAAACTCAGACCCCGGAGTTCGACCCTGGTCAGCAGGAGTTTGCTCCCATTGAGGAGGAACCTGAGGAGGAGGAGGGTGAGGAGGAGGCCCAAGGTTCCCGCTCTCCAGAGAACAGCAGTCGTAACCGTGGCGACAGCGGCAGCACAGCTCCCGAGGGCCTCACGTCTGGGGACAGTTGCGTTGGACGGGAATCGCTGATCAAACACATCAAGACGCCGACGTTGGAAACCTACTTCAGCTGCTGCGTGTGCGGAAAATCCTACATCTACAAACACAACCTGCAGAGACACCTGAGGACGCACTCCGACCTCACACACGCCCACCGGGGGTCCTTCTGCTGCTCGGAGTGTGGGAGGACGTTTGTCCATCGACACAACCTGCAGAGACACGTGCAGAGACACCGCGGCTCGCCGCAGACCTACATGAAGACCCAGACGGCGGGGAGACCCTTCAAGTGCTTCCACTGTGGGAAAACCTTCACTCTGTTGGGGTTCCTGCAGCGACACATGGTGGTCCACCCGCAGGTGAAACCGTTTCGCTGCGGCGTCTGCAGGAAGAGATTTTTCTGGAGGTTTCAGTTAAAGGATCACAGGTGTCAGGGGGCTAAAGGTCCGGCCCGTGTCAGTCGAGGACAGGACGAAAGTGTCCACGCAGAGGACTGGAGAAACATCAGACGACATCCGTCTGGTTTCACCTACCAACGAAGTAAAAAGGCTCCCGAGGCTGAAGAGAAACCGTACTCTGACCACGATCCTGAACCTGGCGATGACAGAAGACGACTGCAGCACTCTGAGACGGTTCAGTCCTCCGGTGAGGACCGTCTCAGTCCTCCGACCCAGAGTGGGACGGACGAGAACGTGTCCAACCCCGTCTCTGCACCAGAACACAGTATATCCAGACACGCCTGCGACCATTTAGGACACAGACCGTTGAACGTTTACGTCAACAGCGTGGGATTCGTCCAGAGCGAGAGTTCCGGTCCTCAGACGTCCAGCAAACCACTGCTCCACTGTTCCATCTGTCAGATGGGCTTCGGCGACAGAGAGACGTTGTTCCAACACATGGGAGTTCACAGCAGACAGACGCAGTTCAGGTGCTTCGTCTGCCGCAAGGAGTTCACCTGGAGGAGGCATCTGACCAAACACATGGAGGTCCACGCCAAGACCTTCGACTGCTGGGACGTCAACGGTGGAGGTCAGTGGCCGTTGGTGGAGCCCTCGTCTGAAGCGGACAGGAAGCCGGCGCCAGGAGCCGCGGGCAAAAAGACGTTTGACTTTTCAGAGTCGGACAGCGACGACAGCGACTTCTGGAAGGAGAGCAGGAAGAAGAACCGTGTGAAGGAGGAGGAGACGCCGAGCGAGGCCGGCGCTGACGGCGCCCTCTGGAGTCTGACATCGTCAAGGAATCAGAGTGGACTGGTAGAAACGTCAGGGAGCAGAGAGACCGGGGGGTCGCTCGGTGACAGCCCGTGTGACTCAGGGCGCTGGGGTCGTCAGGGGGCGGGGCCTGTCAACGTCAAGAAGGAAGAAGAGGAGGTGGACGTCACTGCCGTCCACGTGAAAACCGAGGACGCCGGCAGCGACGACAGCGACTTCTGGAGCGACAGCAGGAAGCCTGAGCGTGGTCGGGACGAGGAGCGCCCCGACGACGACCCCGGCGACGACCCCGGCGACGACCCCGGCTCCAGGTCCAGCTCCAAACCCTACATCTGCTGCCAGTGCGGGCAGGGCTTCTCCTACCTGGACGTCCTGGAGAGTCACATGAAGCTCCACACCGCCAAGGCCTCGTACTGGTGCCCGGTGTGTGGAAAACAGTGCATCGACGCGGCGAAAGTCCGGATCCACCTGAGGACGCACACCGGAGAGACACCCTTCAGCTGCTCCACCTGCGGGAAAAAGTTCAAATACAAGTGGACCTTGAAGAGACACCTGGAAATCCACAACTCTGAGAAACGCTACCACTGCAGCGTCTGCGACCAGAGGTTCGCCTGGTCCACGGAGCTGAAGTACCACCAGTGTTTGGGTGAGAGGAGCCCCCACAAGGGGGCGCTCAACGGCAGCAGTGACGTCTGTGAGGCTCTCACTCACTGAAGCCCACAGAGAACACCAGTGACTTTAGCTCAACGATGCTAACGAACACGGTACCTGGAACTGTTCCTGCACTGAGAACAAACTTTAATCCCACGTCTGATTTGCTTTGTTTGTGTAATTAAAAAAAAACTTTTAAATACAAAATAAGGAACAATTAGAAGCTAAAGTTTAGCTAAAAGTGTTTAAGGTGTTCTTGTCCTGTTGACTGTGACAATTTAAAAAAGTGGTTTCTAGAATAAAAGCTTTCAGATGAAATGAGACATAAATACTGAGCAGAAAAAAAAACAAATATCAGATAAAAAAAAAACTTTTAAATACAAAATAAGGAACAATTTGAAGCTAAAGTTTAGCTAAAAGTGTTTAAGGTGTTCTTGTCCTGTTGACTGTGACAATTTAAAAAAGTGGTTTCTAGAATAAAAGCTTTCAGATGAAATGAGACATAAATGCTGAGCAGAAAAAAAAAACAAATATATCAGATAAAAAATAATATGATTTTATCAAAGAGCAGGTATTTATTACACTTTAACCACATTTTATCAAATGTTTTTAAAGTTGTTTTTTAGTCACTTTTCTCTCCCCAGGATTTGGCTTTTTATTAAAATTAAATAACTAATTAATGTTGAGTTTGTTTGTTTTTTACTTCTCCATATTTTGAGTGAAATGACTTTTATTTTGAAACTTCGCCCCTGCCGGAAACTGCTGTCCATCACGACTACAGGATAGCGGGGTCCGTGTGTGAGTTAGTTTCGCGCTGTGGGCTGTCACGTGTCTTAGTGATTAAAAACTTCCAAAGGAGGAGAATATTTTTGTAGTGAAATAGGCATTAGCTTAGCATTGTTAGCATCACGCACCCTGGACCTGGATGTCGCCTTAGTTCGTTATCCGCAGAGATAACGAACTACATTTATCTCAACAACCGTTAGCCACATAGCTACCCAGGCGTAGCCACAATTCAACATTTAGCTGCAGTTGGCTACCGTTAGCTTAGCGCCGAGAACAGCGTTCTTCTAACAGTTAGCTTTTAGCGAGGCCAGCTGCTTAGCATCGACTATTAGCCACGAACCACCGTTAGCTGCAGCGCCTTTTCGTCACCGTGATGTCCAAAGTGCAGACGCTGAGAGAGAGTGTACAGCAGCGCCTCATCGCGGCCGCGGAGCAGATCTTCGAGCTGTTCGAAAGAACCATAGCGGAGTACGAGGAGGAGCTGAGTCGCTCCAAGCAGGAGAACCGGCGGCAACAGAAACTTCTGGAAGCTTTTAAGCTCCAGAACCAGCAGGAGACCACAGGTGTGTTGACCCTCCCCGGCGGCCATTATTATGATGATGAACGTCACTGTGGAACAACCGAACCATAATGACAGAAGACACCAGGGGGCCCTGGTGAAGCTGCGCTGTGTTTTGTGTTACTTCCGGTTTGTCATCTTTGATGAAGGTGTTTCTGAAGTAACGGAAAATATCGACAAAAACACGAGGGAATGACGCAGGTTGGCACAAAACACAGACGTAAATATTTAACAACTACTTCAAACCAACAATAATAAAAAAAAAAGTTGATAATAAACATAGATTAAAAACATTTTAAAGATATAACTCTTTAGAATTGAAGTTGCCAGAAATGTGAAACATCAGCCTCAGGTCCAGAAGCGTCTCCAAATCTCTGGACGCGCACCTCAGTGTTTCAGAGTGGGGGCGCTGTTCTTTGAACCAGCCCTGAGGTTATAGGATTGGGTAATAGAAGGGTTGCCGGCACAAATCCCACCTCTGTTAGTTACACTGTGTGTTTATTATAACCAATAATAAACAGTGAGTCAGGTGTGAGTGCAGTAACCAACACCTGACACCAGAGGGCTCTGGTACGGTTGGGTGTGGTCACAGCTGTGGTTGTTGACCTTGTGGTTGATGTTTCCTCCAGAGGACCTGCTGCTGTTGGTGAGCGAAGAAGAGTTTGTCCCGGAGCAGCAGTAATGTCGCCACCCTGTGGAGGGCGGTCAGGAGGAGGTCGACATCACTGCGGTGACCGTGAAGATTGAAGAAGAAGAAGAAGTTGTTTCCTCGCAGCTTCACCTCCAGAGTCTGGACCGTGGAGGAGCAGAACCAGGACCAGGACCAGGACCAGGCAGCAGTCCGGTTCTGGTCCTCCATTCCCAGGGTTTTGATCCGCAGCTCAGTGCCGTTTGGGGAAAGAACGCAGAGGCCACGTCACACGGACGCCATCAGAATGGATCCCGCAGCTCGGCCCGTCACGTGGACCAGCGGTCCAACGTGAAGACGCCCAGGAAGGTCCAGCCGACGGCGAGGAGACCCTTCAGCTGCCCCCAGTGTTCCAAACCCTTCACACAGAGGGTCCAGCTGACACATCACATGAGCAGTCACCAGGCGGCGCTCAGAGAGGACAGTCGAGGAGCAGAACCCGCCTGGCGGCCAGTGGGAGGCGCTGCTGAGCAGGAACTGAGTGAAAACCTGGCTGAGATCACCGACTCCATGGACTCGGAGGAATCTTCCGGAACTTCGGACACCGAAAGTTCCTCGGACTCAGACTCGGGAGATGGCGACGCCGGTGTTTGGACAGACTCCTGGAAACCATCGGGTCGAAAGGTCGCCAAAACCGAAGCGGCTCCTGACGACGAAGAGGCCGACAAACCGTTCCGATGCCTGGATTGCGGCAGAAGGTTCAAGGCCAAGGTGACGCTCAAGTCACACATGACCATCCACACCGGAGTCAAACCCTTCACTTGTTTCTTGTGCGGCAAGAAGTTCAGCCGCAAGCCCTACCTGAAGTCCCACATGATAACGCACGCCGGAGACCGACCCTTCAAGTGTTCCTTCTGTGGCAAAGGTCTGAGGACCAAGGCCAGCCTCCAGGAGCACCAGAGGATCCACACCGGAGAGAAACCCTTCGACTGCCCCGAGTGTGGGCGGAGCTTCAGGTCCAAGGGCTGCATGACCATCCACATGAGAACTCACAGATGAACGGGCTGCCTTTGACCTTTGACCTGCAGGCTTCAGCTCAGCCGTTCTGATGTAAATGTCCGTCAGTAACTGTTGGTGACATCATGACTCAGATTCTGAGCCAATTAGAAATGAGTACCGTTAGCACATATATGTTTATATATGAAATAAAACTGTTGACCAAGGACACGGTGTCTCTGCTGTGGATCCAGTGACGTCACCGTGAGTTCTCTGTGACCTGCCTAGCAACAGCTGATGATGGCGTAGTCACTGATACGATTGGTACAAGGAAACTGTCATCAGAGTTAGGACGGGGATGCTAAAGGTTAGCTTACAGAATAAAAATCTGCTAATGATTCTCCAAAGTCTTTTTTAAACACACGTTTGCCCAAAAAAAACCAAAAAAACTACTGTAAACCTTCATATATAAATACTTCAATTACACCAACAAAATACTTCATCTGTATTTCTATGTATGGAAATACTTCACTAGTACATCAACATACTTTTTTTCTCATATACTTCTTGATGTAGTGATGCATTATGGGTAAACAATAGTCACAGCAGTAAATCTTTATTTTTGACTCATTTCATTATTAAAAACTATGAAAAGTTAATAACGAAAAAGAACAAAAATCTAAACGTACGTTATTCAAGTTTTATATTTAAAAAAACTAAAAACAAGATTTGAAAGTTCATGTCTGGTAAATATAAACTAGTTATGTTAAAACTTTATGACAAAGTTTAGGATGTCATATGCTGCTTCACCACCAGATGTCACTTTAACCTTCTAAATCACAACTATCCACAGTTAGTAGGAACTAAAATCAATTGAAAACTGAAAACTTTAACCAAATGAAAAAAAAAAATTCTCAGTGACAATACATAACGACAGTCGCCCTCTGCCGGGCATCAAGAGAACAGCGGGTTTCTTTCCTAGTTTATAAACTAGAACTATTTTTTACATTCAGTCAGTGTCTCCAGTCACAGATGTCCACTCTCTAACACTGGTGTTTCAAGGCCACGCCCCCCCGGCCCCCCCTCCTGAACCAGACCAGGTCACATGACACCTATTCTGGCTCTGGTTCTGTTGCCGTGGCTGCGGTGGCCGCCTGCCCGTCACACTTGTGTTTCTTCAGCTGGACTTTCCAGGTGAACCTCTGTCCGCAGGTGTCGCAGCCGAAGCGTTTCTCCCCCGTGTGCAGCACCATGTGCTTCCCCATGTTCCCACGGTCCCTGAAGTGTCGACCACAGATGGGGCAGCCGAACGGTTTTTCCCCCGTGTGACAACGAAAATGTCTTCTCAGGGAGTCGTTGGAGCCGAAGACCTCGCCGCACACGGGGCAGGGGACCTGCTTCTTCTTGGCCCGGCCCTCGGACAACTCCTGGATGTGGAGCTGCACGGGGTCGCCGCTGCGGCAGACGCGCTCGTGTTTCCGGAGCTGATACAGCAGCGTGAACCTTTTGTGGCAGACGCCGCAGCAGAAGAGCGTGTCGCCGGCGTGACACGACATGTGCTGCATCAGGTGGAGCTTCTGGGTGAAGGCTTTGCCGCAGATCTCGCAGGTGAACACCTTGGCCCCCGCCGGGGTCCGCGCCCCAGACTCGGTGCCTGTCGGTGAGCCGTCGTGGTGCTGAAGAACCAGAGCAGAATTGGATGACGACGCGCGGACGAAGTCGTCCGCGCGGCTCTGATGGTGGCGCTGTGACGACTCGGGCCTCTCCTCGTCCTCCTCGTTCTTCACGGTCACCGCGGTGACATCCTCCTCCTGATTGGACCACATCTCCTCCTCTTCCTCCTTGATGCTGGGGCACCACTCCTGCTGCTGAGGGGCAGCGCTGCTGACACCTGCAGGCCACAGAGTTAAACACACTTCTTTGTGACGACTGATGTAAACAGTGAGTCAAACTGAGCCTCAGACTCAGAGCAGTCGTTACTGACAATAACAAACATCATGATGTTATCGATGCTCAGCCCATTTATCGAAGTATCGAAGTTGATTTTTGGTTCGTTAATTATAAGCGAATCCGTTCAGTAGATGCTAACGGTAGCCTGTGAGCATCAACAGCCGGGCAGCGACGACCAGTCGCTAACTTCAGACAACACCTACTCCAGGCGACTAGCTACAATTAGCAGGTGCTAACGTCAGTGGAGCTGCAGTCAACACTGGTTAGCCGATCATCTAGAGATAACATAAACCAACAGACGTTTCAAGCAGCCACTAGCCTCGGGCTAACCGTGATGAGCGCGGCTAACAGGAGCTAACAATGGCTAGCATCAGTTAGCATGACCTGTGGGGGACTCAGGCCTGGCTCCTCGTCCCTGTGTCAAACTGACCTGAGATCCGTGGAGGGAGCAGACCCAAGGCCGGACTTCTGGCGCTGATGTCCGGCTTCAGCTGTCGGATCATCTCCGCCTCGAACTCCACCATGGTTTTTTCAAACAAGCCCAAAATCTCCTCTGCCGCCGCGGTCAGTCGCTGCATCACTGCTTCTCTCAGGGTCTCCATTTTGACCGAGCTGCCGCCCCGGAGCCTCTTGTTGCGGCTGACGCTGCTGAGACACACCGCTGCTGATCCTGCGGCTGCTGCAGCGCCACCTGTGGCCGCGGCCCGAGACTCCTACAGGCTTCACAGGAACGAGACCGATGTTCAGTGTCGAGATTTATTCGTGATTTTTTTTTTATCATTTTAGCAGAAAATCAAACCACATTTCTTTATGAAAATAAAGAGTTAGAAAGTGACGTCACACATCACTGTAGTAGCTAACATGAATCATTAATTAAAGGAGAAGGGTCATAAGGTGGAGAGTGATGTTGCCCTGAGACAAAGGTCAGGGGTTCGATCCTCAGTGGAAACTGATGGAGTGTGTGTGTGTGTGTGTGTGTGTTCACTCTGACTTAAACACACTGTCAGTGTGAACGCTTGTTTGTCTCAGTGTGTGTGTGTGTGTGTGTGTGTGTGACCTTGTGATCCCCTGGAGAACCACCCATGGTGGACCAACCATGGTGTAGCCCCCCCCCCCGCCCCCCCCACTGGTGACGGACAGTTCCCGTCAGAACAACTGTTTCCTTCCTAAAAACAACAACAAACGATGGATTTCCTGGAATTGACTTTGACAGAAAAAAATATTAAAACAGTTTAAACAAAAAAACAGAAACAAAACACAATCAAACCTCAGGGTCAAGGTCGGGGTCAGAGTTCATCAGGAAGGTTCTTTCTTCACAGGTGAATCAACAGTTCCCGTCACCTGGAACACAGAAAACTTGAATGTTATAAAATATAAATCATTATTATTTTGGATGCAGCGACTGAAGTTCTGTTCTGTTTTCACCTCACGCTCACCTTTAAAGTCAACTTTTAGTTAAAAACCTCGACGACGACGAGGTGTGACGAGTTCTTCTCTGACGACGGACTGTTTTTTTCCACGCTCTTCATCTTCGTCTTCATCACCTTCATCCCTCAGACTCTTCACCAAAACTGTGAATAACCAGCAGTGACATCACAGCAGGAGGAGGAGGAGTATAAGAGCAGCAGGAGACGCAGCGAGGAGAGGAGTCTCACTCACACCCAGCATCAGCATCAGCATCAGCACCATCACAGGAGGAGCAGGAGGAGGAGGTCACAGAGGAGCCTCACCCACACCAGGAGCAGGAGCAGAGCAGGAGCAGAGCAGGAGGTCACAGATTTACCACAACAGCTTTTCATTTCTACACAGTGAGTTTTTTTTGTTTGTTTTTTGACAGAAAGTTCCAGTTGTGTTTTTTTTTTTTTTTTTTTTCAGCGATTGTTACGTTGTTTTCAGGTGATGGAGAGGAGACCAACCGTCGTCTTCCTGGTCGTCTGTCTGTCCGTGATGACATCACTCTGTCAGGGTCAGCGCTCAGCTGACCTCCAACTGGACGAGCCGCTGCTTGGACGAACCGTCACCAAACTGGTACGTCTTTGTTTTCTTCAGGGAATCAGATGAAAGTGGAAAAATGAATTACAGTTCTTCATGTCTTTATCCAGCAGGAGGCGCTGCAGTCTCTGCTCTCAGACTCTAACGCTGCCAGTTTGTCCGTGGAGAAGAAAGCCGGCGTCATTCCTCGGGTAAGAACTTCTACACAGTCAGTCAGAACCCAAACCATAACTCATCAGTTACACCAATGAAACACCAGGGGGAGTCTCCAGTATCTGGACTGTGGACCACCAGGGAGGATCCAGGTCTGTAGGAGGAACAATAGACAGAACCTTCCAGTCGGTTCTGGCTGGTCCGTCCGTCAGTGATCAGGGTCTTCAGTCCCACTCAGCGGTTCTTTTTCCAGTACTGCTTCAGTTCAGGGGGGGTTGGAGGGGGCGTGGTCCTGCAGGTGTTCTTGTCCACTCTTGTCCACCGTGTCCACCGTCCCTCTCAGAACAAACTTCTGTCTCTGTCTCTCAGTGTGACGTCGGTGAACGCTGCGCCATGAAACACGGACCTCGGATCGGTCGTCTGTGTGACTGCCTGAGAGGAACGGCCTGTAACACCTTCTTCCTGCGCTGCTACTGAACACACACACACACACACACACACACACACCGTCTCTGTGAGTGAATGTTTATCTCAGAGACACCAGATCATTGTCTTCTCCTGATCTGTTTTTTTTTTTTTTGAAAATAAACGTGAAATGTGATCAGCTACACATTAGCCTGCAGCGCCACCTCTCTGTGGACACACGTCCTCACATCGACAGAACAAAGCTGTGTCTCTGTGTTTTGTTAAATAAAGAACAGAATGAAATAAACTCCACTGTCGTCGTCTCATTAACTGGGCATCAGCCGTCAGGGTCAGAGGTCGCCGCGTTGGGCTGTGAACTCCTGACGAGTCAGTTAAGATCAACTGCTGCTCAGACCGGTTTAAAAGCCCAGCTCGTCCAATCAGAGAAGAGCTCCGACTCCTGGCATTTAAGCAGAAGCAGATAAGAGTCAGTAATTACAGCCGAGTAAAGGCCACAGACGGAACATCAGAGAGAGGAAGACCAGACCACTGACCCTGCTGAGAAATATGATGACACCCTGCTCTGTGATCGTTGTACAATGACGTCAGAGTAAATTAACTTCCTGTTCTTCAGACTGTTTCTATTCAGAAGTTCAAGGAGAAAAAATCAAATCTGAATGCTGTGATTATTTGTTTTCATCACATCAATATGTTTATATTGTAATACCATCATCCACCTACAGGGTGTAGTGTAAACCTCTGTGCTGATATTAACACTAACCCGCCAACACTAGTTGTTTTGCAACTTCATTCTTTGAAATCCTTTCACATCAGTTATACATACTGACCACAGGGGGCAGCAGTGGTATTCCTAGAGAAACAGTACATTTCCCAATTCCTTTTGTAACAGAACTGTTTGAGCAGCTGTTCTCTGCAAGTCCGATCGTCTACGGACAATTTAAACCTGAGCTTCAGCTAATCCAACCGCCACCACTGACACCAGTGACACCATCGACACTAGTGACACCATCAACACCATCGACACCATCAACACTAGTAACACCATCGTCACTAGTGACACCATCGTCACTAGTAACACCATCAACACTACTGACACCATCGACACCATCAACACTAGTAACACCATCAACACCAGTGACACCATCGTCACTAGTGACACCATCGTCACCAGTGACACCATCGACACTAGTGACACCATCGACACTAGTGACACCATCGACACTAGTGACACCATCGACACTAGTGACACCATCGACACTAGTGACACCATCGACACTAGTGACACCATCGACACTAGTGACACCATCGACACTAGTGACACCATCGACACCAGTGACACCATCAACACCAGTGACACCATCGACACCAGTGACACCACTGACACCATCAACACTAGTGACACCATCGACACCATCGACACCATCGACACCAGTGACACCATCAACACCAGTGACACCAGTGACACCATTAACACCAGTGACACCAGTGACACCATCAACACCATCAACACCACTGACACCATCAACACTAGTGACACCAGTGACACCATCGACACCAGTGACACCATCAACACCAGTGACACCAGTGACACCATTAACACCAGTGACACCAGTGACACCATCAACACCATCAACACCACTGACACCATCAACACTAGTGACACCAGTGACACCATCGACACCAGTGACACCATCAACACCAGTGACACCAGTGACACCATTAACACCAGTGACACCAGTGACACCATCAACACCATCAACACCACTGACACCATCAACACTAGTGACACCAGTGACACCATCGACACCAGTGACACCATCAACACCAGTGACACCAGTGACACCATTAACACCAGTGACACCAGTGACACCATCAACACCATCAACACCACTGACACCATCAACACTAGTGACACCAGTGACACCATCGACACCAGTGACACCATCAACACCAGTGACACCAGTGACACCATTAACACCAGTGACACCAGTGACACCATCAACACCATCAACACCACTGACACCATCAACACTAGTGACACCAGTGACACCATCGACACCAGTGACACCATCAACACCAGTGACACCAGTGACACCATTAACACCAGTGACACCAGTGACACCATCAACACCATCAACACCACTGACACCATCAACACTAGTGACACCAGTGACACCATCGACACCAGTGACACCATCAACACCAGTGACACCAGTGACACCATTAACACCAGTGACACCAGTGACACCATCAACACCATCAACACCACTGACACCATCAACACTAGTGACACCAGTGACACCATCGACACCAGTGACACCATCAACACCAGTGACACCAGTGACACCATTAACACCAGTGACACCAGTGACACCATCAACACCATCAACACCACTGACACCATCAACACTAGTGACACCAGTGACACCATCGACACCAGTGACACCATCAACACCAGTGACACCAGTGACACCATTAACACCAGTGACACCAGTGACACCATCAACACCATCAACACCACTGACACCATCAACACTAGTGACACCAGTGACACCATCGACACCAGTGACACCATCAACACCAGTGACACCAGTGACACCATTAACACCAGTGACACCAGTGACACCATCAACACCATCAACACCACTGACACCATCAACACTAGTGACACCAGTGACACCATCGACACCAGTGACACCATCAACACCAGTGACACCAGTGACACCATTAACACCAGTGACACCAGTGACACCATCAACACCATCAACACCACTGACACCATCAACACTAGTGACACCAGTGACACCATCGACACCAGTGACACCATCAACACCAGTGACACCAGTGACACCATTAACACCAGTGACACCAGTGACACCATCAACACCATCAACACCACTGACACCATCAACACTAGTGACACCAGTGACACCATCGACACCAGTGACACCATCAACACCAGTGACACCAGTGACACCATTAACACCAGTGACACCAGTGACACCATCAACACCATCAACACCACTGACACCATCAACACTAGTGACACCAGTGACACCATCGACACCAGTGACACCATCAACACCAGTGACACCAGTGACACCATTAACACCAGTGACACCAGTGACACCATCAACACCATCAACACCACTGACACCATCAACACTAGTGACACCAGTGACACCATCGACACCAGTGACACCATCAACACCAGTGACACCAGTGACACCATTAACACCAGTGACACCAGTGACACCATCAACACCATCAACACCACTGACACCATCAACACTAGTGACACCAGTGACACCATCGACACCAGTGACACCATCAACACCAGTGACACCAGTGACACCATTAACACCAGTGACACCAGTGACACCATCAACACCATCAACACCACTGACACCATCAACACTAGTGACACCAGTGACACCATCGACACCAGTGACACCATCAACACCAGTGACACCAGTGACACCATTAACACCAGTGACACCAGTGACACCATCAACACCATCAACACCACTGACACCATCAACACTAGTGACACCAGTGACACCATCGACACCAGTGACACCATCAACACCAGTGACACCAGTGACACCATTAACACCAGTGACACCAGTGACACCATCAACACCATCAACACCACTGACACCATCAACACTAGTGACACCAGTGACACCATCGACACCAGTGACACCATCAACACCAGTGACACCAGTGACACCATTAACACCAGTGACACCAGTGACACCATCAACACCATCAACACCACTGACACCATCAACACTAGTGACACCAGTGACACCATCGACACCAGTGACACCATCAACACCAGTGACACCAGTGACACCATTAACACCAGTGACACCAGTGACACCATCAACACCATCAACACCACTGACACCATCAACACTAGTGACACCAGTGACACCATCGACACCAGTGACACCATCAACACCAGTGACACCAGTGACACCATTAACACCAGTGACACCAGTGACACCATCAACACCATCAACACCACTGACACCATCAACACTAGTGACACCAGTGACACCATCGACACCAGTGACACCATCAACACCAGTGACACCAGTGACACCATTAACACCAGTGACACCAGTGACACCATCAACACCATCAACACCACTGACACCATCAACACTAGTGACACCAGTGACACCATCGACACCAGTGACACCATCAACACCAGTGACACCAGTGACACCATTAACACCAGTGACACCAGTGACACCATCAACACCATCAACACCACTGACACCATCAACACTAGTGACACCAGTGACACCATCGACACCAGTGACACCATCAACACCAGTGACACCAGTGACACCATTAACACCAGTGACACCAGTGACACCATCAACACCATCAACACCACTGACACCATCAACACTAGTGACACCAGTGACACCATCGACACCAGTGACACCATCAACACCAGTGACACCAGTGACACCATTAACACCAGTGACACCAGTGACACCATCAACACCATCAACACCACTGACACCATCAACACTAGTGACACCAGTGACACCATCGACACCAGTGACACCATCAACACCAGTGACACAGGTCTGGTTCTGGAAACTGCGTCCAGGGTACACACCTCTGTGAGGGTCCACGGCCAGAACTCCTCCCACACACTCAGAAGAAGGAGAAGGACAAAGTCCTTCCATGAGTCGACTCGGTTGGACCTTGTTCTGTTGTGTGGAGGAGAACCGGCTCGTAGAACCTGACAGAGTCCAGGTTTAGGAGAAGCTACGGCTAGGATTTGGACCACGACCTGCGGTTGAGCCAACTGAACCATTTCACCAACCGGGAGCCAACATTTAGAGAAGTCCGTTCCATGGACGTCCAACGAACATCCAACCAAAGTTAGAGAAAGACCACGCTGACTCAGCAAAAGTTCACCTCAGAAGATGAGACCAGACCAGGGACGGACGTCCACAGACCACACACAGACCCAGAGGAGACTTGGGGACAAGTCAGGGAGACGATCTCCTGAGGGACCAGAGGACCTTCAGACCTGGGACAGAAGTTTCAGTCAGGAGTAAATGAACCTCAACATTCTGAGTTGTCTCTCTGCCAGGTTCTCTTCGTCCTAAAACCCTGACGCGGTCTACGGTGTCCTGTCTGTCTCAAGGTGAGAAGCTAACTTAGCCTAGCATCTGTTAGAACGATTGGTTTTGCAGGGGGTGGAATAACGCCCCCTGCTGGGAGGCCTCCCAATACGACACGCAGTAGCTAAAAAAAACTGAAGCTTTAAGGAAGTGAACTTGGCAAAGAGTCAAACCAGACTGAGTCCAGATCCAGTTCAGGGACTAAGAACCGGGTGGAGACACGGTCGTCCAAGGATCAAAGTTAAGTTTCAAACCCAACTTAAATCAATCAATCAATCAATCAATCAACGACTTCTTTGATCCCACGTTTGGGAAATTCTGGAGTTAAACAGCAGATCTGCTGCAACAGGCTGCCCCTAGGGGGCGCCAAGTATGTGGTTCCTCTGGTTTCTGTCAAGTACTATTTCAGGTGCAGCCAATGAGAGAGGACGGTCAAACAAACCAAAACAATGCCCCCCCCTAACCCCCCCATTCTGACCTGTCCCTGTCACTACTGACAACCTAACTCCCATCTGCACAGACACATCTCCACCACTGGAGGGAGCACTCAAAGCTCTGGGAGATACTGGTGGGAAAGGGAGGTGGGGGTATGAGGGGGGGGCTCTCTGTGGGACATAGGGTGGGGGGGCAGTCTCTCTGTGGGACATAGGGTGGTGGGCAGTCTCTCTGTGGGACATAGGGTGGGGGGCAGTCTCTGCAGGGCTGGTTCAGTCCAGGTA